AACGGCATTTATTCAACCATACACTAGACACGCGAGTCCCTCTGTGACAACACATACATGAGAGACGGAGACAATCATGGCCAAGGCGGAACTCGAATCCGCGACCTGTCGGATCGAAGCTTGAGTCGGTACATACGTTTAGTCACCATGCCCATCCAGCTCGGAAGTGATATCGTAGGCTTCGGCGGCAACAGTCATGATCTGGGCTGTCCGGGACCGCGATATGTCGGACGAAATATCGGCACCTCAGCCTTCGACGCGGACAGCCCACATCAAGAAGAGAATTGCTTAGAGTAAAAAAACAATAACCTGGAGTACGAAGAGAGCTCAGATATTCAGCTGCAGGCGATTCACCCGGGCGGAGAGCGAGTTGCAAATAGTCTTGGCGGCGCGGCGCGGGTGGGCGGCGCCGTGGCCTCGAGGCGAAGCGAAGAGGCCGGCGACCATGTGAGCGCCGCCGGTTCGCCCGGGGCGGGGACGGGCGGGGGCGGGGACGGGGCGGGGACGGGGCGGGGGTGGGGCGGGGGTTGAGGTCAGGGGCGCGTCCTGGGGCGCGCAAACGGTCAGGCGACACCCCCGGCCCACGCGCCTTGGCCCGACCGGGGCTGCTGCGGCGTCAATCCAGCAAGTTAGGCCAAAGAGCGGCCCCCGCCCCCGGCCCCCCCCGCCCTCGCCGCCGTCGCGGCCCGCCCGCGTCACAGTTACCCTCTCCCCTCGCGCTTCCACTTCTCATGTCTTGTCCTTACCTTCCCACTCATTCCTTCCACCCTCTCTTTCTTCGTCTCTTCTATATTTTCTTCAATTTTTAGAGCCTCTCTCTTTTTTTCAATGCCGTTTTCCGTTTTTCTTTACATAATCGGTCTGTTTTTCTTTTCTTTATCTCCTATGAATCAGTTTCTTCTTCCCTCTCTTCTTTCGTGTTCTGTATTTTTTCTTCTTCTCCCTTAACCCTCTTGTTCGCTACTAAACCGCTTTTTTGCCCTTCTAACTTCCTCTACCACAATGTCCCTTGCAATGCCTTTTTCAAGTTTCCATCTCCTCCTTCTCTTTCATTTTCCCTTGCTTTTCACAGTTTCACAATCTCACCTTCCTTTTGTGGCACTTTTTCCTGTTGTTGCCCTCTTCTTTTGTCAATTTCCTTTGGCTCTCCTTTCCTTCCAGTATATTTTTTCTTTTGCCATTTCTATCTTATTCCCTCCCATTTTTTTCGTATTTGTCCTACCTGTATCTCCAGTAGTAAATACACCGTAACTATTTTGGTTTCTTCCCAGCATACAAAGTTATCGAGAATAATATTCAATGTAGAATTTCTGCAAGAGAAAATTGTGTAACGAAAATAATTTCATCGGATCATTGACCAAATATTAAATATTCGTATGTGAAATCGGTTTTAAATCCCTATTGTTTGCAGTGCGAACTATATATACATCACCAAATTCCAATGTTTAATCCATGCTTTTCATTGTCAAAATCAATTTTAAATTTTTTCGTGTTTCGTTTCTCGTATTTGAAAACTTGCTACAGGTATTTTGCGTTCACATGCCAGTATTGTAAGTATATTTCTCAACTAATCGTTTTTAAAACACTTAACTTTAAGGGAATTTGTTCTAAAAATTGAAAATATTGTGGCATTTGATGTGAATGCTGTTCACAACTCCGTTAATCTTTACGCTTCACGACGATGTATTGCATGGTAGATAATTAAAAAGCTGTAAAGAAAAATGGTTGTAATATGGTGACATAAATTCTTCGAAGTTACAAAAAAAGGCCAAAAAGGCAATATAATCCATTTAAAAAGAAGAAAGAGGTCATCCAACTTACGTAACTTCTTTGGTTTACGCATTTTCATGCACAAGGACGAGTTCCGAGAAGGTCCAGTTTGTCCAGCGGTGCAGTCGCACGTCGAAATGCGATCCTTCATCTCTCCGTCCACCTCATCCCCCACGACCGTCCCGCCCCGAAAAGAACACACGAACCACACCCAACCACGCGGTCATTTCAGCCCAAGGAGGCGACACTGCCAGCAACGCGACCCCCCGCTTTTTAGGATTTCCCGTAGCGGCAAAGACATCGGACTGTGTCTCCCAAAAGTTTGGACGCAGGGTGTCTTTGATGACAGGCGTCTCGCAGGCACCGCGCCATACACTACCGCTCGGCGCCAACCCACCCCACCCACGCCACGGGCCACACCACAGTAGACCCGACTTCACAATCACACCCCCGCCCTTCGACCAAGCCTCCAAACCATTGTTCTACCACTCAACCAACGCCAGCCATCGGAACTAAACACATTCGCTATCGCTCGCCCACCTATTCCACTCACCAACCCTTTCACCATAACATCACCCACCCATCTCACCTCATTCGCCTGCCGCCCGTCCAATCACCCACCCGCCCACTAAACACACCTGTCCAACCCTCCTCCACCCAGCACTCGCTCTACCATCCAACTTTCATTCGTCTGCCCGTCCACTCGCCAAAGCCGCCCACCCGCCAAAACGCACCGCCGCGAACACCCATCCATCCACCACACCCAACAAACCCACCCACCCACTCACCAACCCACACCACCCACACTCACCAACCAACCCATCCAACCGTAAACACTTACTTACCCAACCCCACCCACTCATACAACTCACACCCCGCCAAGCCACATCGTGTTCACGTCCCTCGCCAGCTTGCCGCTCTCCCCTCCCCCACCAAAGTCTCCCACTCACACCCACCATCCTCTCCACCCCCCACCCACTTCCTCAGACCGACTGCACGACCCACATCGCCGGCCTCGCCACCTCCCACTTCACGCGTCGCCCCTCCCCGCCCAGCCCCGTCTTCGCCTTGAGACGCGCAGCCGACTCCGCGGCTAGCGCCGAGTTATGAAAGCGAAATGCTCTCGCGTCCACGTCCCCGAGTTTTATGATTACCCTTGCGAGTGTTAATACTTTTCCAAAGCTCCCTTCCGGGCGGGTGGGGGTGCAGGGGGGATTGAGTCAGCTATTCCTATATTTATTAATTCTCCGGTCACATCAGCAAGAGAACTAATCCGAGTTGTGCGCCACGAAGCAGAATGCGAGGCGGTTCTTTTGCCGAGGGAAAGAAAGGGACGTCATACATCTGCTGTCACTTTAAGCGCGTTGTTACAACCGTTCTCGACGCCCTGGTTATTTTGAGCTACGTCGTCGCCGAGCGGAAGAAAAGAATGCCTTGCCAGGGGTGTACAAGACTTCTTTGGGCGTAGTTGGTGATCTTGCATCCGTCGGTTAAGTTATTTTATTTCTATGTAGGAGTTTTGCTCCAACTATGTCAGATTACAGAACGTGAGATATTATTTCTTTCAGAATAGTTTCATTTCACCTTCTCTTTGTTCGGACTCATCCCCCAGTGTTTACAAATATCCGTTAATTGATTCACATGGCGGCAATTAGAAGTTAAATTTCAATTTTAAAAACATATTCGTAATAGTTATTTCACGATTGCCACCAAGAAGCAATGTTTTGTCTGAATTGTCAGTATAAAACTTGGATCTTATCGCCGGCCTCGTTTCAACACAAGCTACGTAACCTCACGATTTGTGGAGTCGTAGGGTTTCTGAGTGAATAAAATTTACTCTTAATGGTATTTACTCTTGGGAAATACATAACAAATGTATGAACTTAGAGCATTGTTTGAATTCATAAAAATTGTACAATGAACAACGTTCATTTTCATTTTGTGAAGTGCGACGTAAGGAGAACGTTATTCACATAATTAAAAATAAACATTTTTCATTACTAATTTTTGTTTTAGTAGAATTCAGTATTAATTTTCTACTAAAACAAATGTATGATGTCAATACAAACGATGATTCCATAATAATTCATTTAAGGAGAATTATATATTTTATTACATGTATTGGATCCTTATGCGTGTTGCAAAACCACAATCAACAATTAACAAGTGACCAATGAAGCTAAGTTGTCACCGATTTGTTTTTGGATGACAACATTTTTTGTCGTACCAAAATTTTGTTTCGTTTTCATTTTTATCATTTGTTATTCATTACTTGGATTGTGTGCAACAACACAGTATCACACATTGTTTTGTTCATATAATTCTCTGCATAATACATGCTATTATTAATTATAAATTCAAAATGAAATGATCATAAGCACATTTAATCTTGGTTTCAAGACATTCACTAACTTTATTTTTTCTATGATTGGCTTTGGATAAATTTTAACCAAAGTTGATTGTCCAATACATATATTATATAAAAAAATATCTATTCCATTTCTAAATAACACACATTTTCAATCAGGCTTATTTCCCAGACATTTGTATAAATTGCTATTTTTTGGTTTTTATTTATTTTCTCATGCTAATGATCAACCTTCAAACTTATTGTAGGCTAAAATTGAATACTATTAATGACAACGTTTGTAATTTGTAGTTAAATAGAAGATCCCTCTCTAAACTGAAGATATTAGCAGGCGAATTCAAATGTGCATATCAGATGATTATGAATATTTGAATAAATGCTGGTCTAAAAAATGTATGGATGTCTTCCTCAAATAGTGTTTCTTTACATTTGCCATATTAACCTGTACTTTGAATCTCCTTTTTAAAACATGTTAAAATTGCTATTAGTAATTTTGCAATAAAAAGTTACTCTAAATTATTTTCTTCATTCTCGAGGATTATTGACACCAGACTCATTTTCGTAAAAGTTGCCCACTCCTTCACCCTCCTAATAAATTAATCATTATTGCATATGCAGTCTCTCATATTCAGTTAATCAGAATAGCACCACGTAACATAATTGTTGTCATCTCTTTAAAAGTCTTGCCTTCCTTCCGTATATTTAAATACATATAAAGTCAAAACCTTGAAAGGTAGACACATATCACATATGTTATAAAAAACACGTTCTAAACTTCCTTTCTAGACTTCGGACTATCCTCTATCGCCAGAACATTGTTCTTCTTAGTATCCGGTATAAGTTTAGCCTTCGAAATCGAACCTCTGTACGTCCTTTCAACTGAACCGTCCTCAATGGCGGGGATCTGTTTCTTCGATCTGGAGCCATCACCGTTTCGAGCACTCGATTTCACGTCCTCGATGGCAAACACCGCACTTTGTTCGGCGCGAGGAGGACACACGGCGGCGTCCTCGATGGGGAGGACGGAGCGGGCGAGGGCGGGTTGAGGACGGGGCCGAGGCCGGGGCCGGCGGCGTTCGCGGAGGCTGGGCCCCAGGGCTTCTCGCAGCCGCCGCTGCGCCGACTCCCGCACCGTTGCCGTTGGCGGCCCCGCCGCCGCCGCTGTCGCGTCGGGCCACTCGAGGTACGTCCTCGTGTCCATGAGGAAGCGCAGGTGGCGCGGCAGCGTGCGCCGCTCGAGCTGCCCCAGCTGGATGAGGATGAGGAAGGCTCGCGAGTCTTCGAAGCTGCGGTGGTTCGCCATGTCCAGCTCCCACTTGCACCACTGCGTGCAACGAACGCATACACTTCCAATAAAACACAGCGTCCCTTCGCGGTCACGAGAGGGGACAGTTGTCATCCAATAGGGAACTTCCATACTAAAAATTTAAGTTGTAACGAAGCTCGCGATTGGATGACAAAATTCCCCCTCCCTTTTCAGCTCGTGGCCTTGAAGGGATTCTCTGATTCAAACTCAGTATAAGGCTGGACGAGAATACATTAGCACGTATCATATAAAGGTACAACAATTATATTTGAAAGTTGTTTGCCAGTAGATGCGAAATCAATGACGAGTGGTCTACTCCAACCGTTAGATATCTTGAAAAATGTTGCAAGTGAACTTTTAATGAACGGAAGTTTTCTATTTTTTTAAACATTAATAAAAAGTGTTCCCCCTTAACTTCAATGGGAAAATAAATTGATGTCATTGGTTGATGTGACAACATATATCCAACCGGTCGACATGAATATTCGTAAGAATGAAGTAACGATTTAAATAGTTGAACTAAATAATTTTAATTATAAATACAGAATAATCATAGTAATATTTGATTTCCCGCTATGAATGTGCTATGATTCTAAGGATAAAACTATTAAGCACTCATCTCTTACGCCCTACACCTCTCTAATTAGAGTTCAGTTTTGGAAACAACTGAATATAAAACATGCAAGTAAATTGATGCCCGCTTGAAACATATGTTTCAAGAAATAGTATAGTAGTGAGCAGTCTACTCAGAAGGGGATGTTCTCATGACTCATGGGTTTTCATGTTGTATCTCCCGCACGAACGCTCAAATTTCAATATAATTAACATTTCAAATTACCACATTATCGGTTACATGAGATCCCATTGAAACACTGATCACATGAAATAAAATAGAAATGAACATTTTACTCAGGAAAGTATTAATTCAACACCAACCACTTTTTAACTGTTACTTAGACTTTTATTCAATTCTCTATCAGCATTATTTTTGTTTCATGCACAAATTTGCTCAAATTCTTTTTATCTGATTCTCCTCAGAATATAACTTCATATTACAATAATTATTGCAAATTAATTAAGCGTTCGAATTTTAATTCAATTTTGTTTCGATTTACGAATTCTAATCAGTTAAGTATTTAATGTATCAAATTTGGTGTAAAATACGGCTTTCTTTAAAAGTCATCCAAAGAATAGGATACAGTTTTCTTATTTCAACGTTTAATGAAAAGATAAAGGACGGAAACATTACAGGAAGAGAAATGGGAGAACACAAAACAAAGCAATCAAATTTTAATCTTTCTTGATTATCTTAAAGTGAAGAGAATTATCTTGCGTTGAAACAAGTTTCTTTATATAAGACTGCATGTAACAACGACTATCTCACTCTCGATAAGGTCAAGACGTATTTTCAGCGTGGAAAAATTACTCCAATTATATTGTCATTGCAAGCAGGAAACTCGCACAGCGGAAGCAGTATACAATGAGTTATTATGCGAATAGAAATCTTTTGTTAACATGCTTTGGATTATTTCTACGACCTTAAAAAATATTACATAACAAAATAAAATTTCTGAATGCTTTTGAAACTGGCAGTGAAACACCACCATTTTAAATAGTTTTGCACTAAATTGAGATTTTTTAATTGAGATCAATGTTTGTGATTTTATATATGTTGGTGTGTGTGTATTAGAAGTAAATACCATTCATAAAAATTAAATTGGTTAAATTGACCTGAATTAATTGTATTAAAACAGGAGCCATCACTTGAAATACTCTAAAGTAGCATCACTTTGAATAATGTCGAATCAAACCTCCGAGTTTAATTATTTTCTACACAAAATTGAAGGGTTAGAATAAATCCTAAAACGTATGGCAGACAGTTGTACTAACACTGCAAGACAGTTTGCTATTTCTGCGGACAGAAACAAACGCATGTGAAGAATGACAGCAGTTCTGTTTCATTTCAATGCAAAACAATAAACAGTTATGCAGAAAAATCCTGCCGAAACAAGGTTAATTTGAAGTAGTTTTGCATCCAAATTTGTACTCAGAAATATCTAGTACTATCCATTAGTGAGACGAATCATGAATGTAATCAATATCATCTTAGTGTTATTTATTTTGCATTGATTAATAGGCAACCGCAGAAGAAAATACGATAAGTCATAAAAAGTTTCAGAGAAGAGACGAATTCCTAAACTGTATTTATTGTTATCACACGCAATGATATGTAAAACATTCGTTTCTTATTAAATCTAAAGTTAAATCTTTGTTCTTTAACCTTTATCTTTTGATTCTCCCATAGACGTTTTTATGGGAAGGACAGAGAGGAAAATATAGTATTGTTATGAAAACTTTTTTGCGAACGCTTAATTTTATAAAATTTGTCTTGAAATATTCAATTGACGTAATTTTTAAATAATTGATAATTAACAAATGAAGTAACTTTTCAGTTAAATTTATATTAAAAGTAACATGAAAAATGGTTTTACTCAGGATGTTAAAGCCGCTTCATAATGATAAGACAGGCGTTTAAACAATTATTTATAATTTGCGGGAGATATAACTTTTAACTAATTTCGTGCGTCTTTCGAGCAGAGATGAACTCTCGTTGGCATTCCGTGAAGCGTCGTTGGAAACTATTCAACCTGACGTAAGCAACCATGCTGTACTGTTTTTTTAAAAACGTGTTTTATTCAATCAAATAGAATATAATCAAATCAAATATTACATACAACGAAATATTACCGATATAATAACTCATTCCCCCCTTATGTTCCATCGAGATTTTTAACGATATTGAGTAAAGTATATCAGTTAAGATTAGGAAATAAATACCATAAATTAAAGAAAATAAAATAAAATAAATAAAATAATTAATAAAGTAAATAAAATAATTAATAAAGTAAATAAAATAATTAATAAAGTAAATAAAGTGGACGGAGTGGAAGAAAGCCCAAGTCTGTTGTTGGGTTGAGGCCGACCTTGCTGGAGACGAAGTGCTGCGAGAGCACGACGACGACGCGCCGGCTGCGCTCGATGGCGCGCGCGATGTTGTCGACGATGAGGGAGCCCAGGGCGAAGTCGCGCTCGTGCAGGCACAGGCGGTAGCGCGCGGGCGGCGCCTCCAGCAGCGGGGCCAGCGTGCGCAGCACCCACGACCGGTCGCCCCCGCTGCGCACGCACACCACGCACAGAGATAGGAAATTATAGCGATTTGCTAAGGTAGCGGACGAAACGCTGAAAAAATAGTAATTGTGTGTTTGACGGTCGTGGAAATATAGTTTTGAATGTTTTCTGTCTGGGAAAATCGATCGCAAGCTGAGAAATCACACACAAAGGGCGAAATGGTCGTAAATCTACGATATAATTCCATAATTGTATGTTTTGGTTTCCTTTGTGTTCGCTCTATAACTAGGGATGCAACGGCGTCAACTACACATCGATTTTTGAATATATATAATTTGAGTGGCCGTGTTTATTAATTTACAATGAAGATTTAGTTGACAGAACAAAGTAAAAATAATAAACTGATTCTAACAGCCTGAGCCCTCAGGGTTTCAGGATCCCGTATGAAGAATTTTCTAAACAAATGCTACAAAATGGTAAATCTCAATTTTTTTATGCTAAAAGCAATACGGCCTTGTTGGAATGTTCTGGTTAGTGGAATAAGTTTAGGGAAACCAATTTCAGGTTGCTGCTATATATTAAAGGAGACGACGATAATATATTTCAGATCCGCTGGATATAAACATCTCGTTGGACGTTAAATAACCTGACAAGTATCTTGCTACTGGTACAAAACTTATCAACGCTCTTTTGTGACACTTCCTCTAAGCAGATCGTACAGATCTCGCTCACACTCTATTTAGATGAAATACTTTTTGGATTTTCGTATTATTAAACAATTATATCACGTGCGTTTTTTTTCATTGCAACTGAACCAAAGCATGTATACTTAGTACCCTAATTACTCGTTGAATACGTAACGTGAAGAAGAATCAGCAAAGAGACACAAGAAATATCTTCCTTTCGTGATGAATCATGATAACAGGGATTCCCGTAATGTTACATTTGCAAATGGCGATCAGGTACAAAAAAGTAGTAGGTATTTTTGTTGACACAAAAGTACCTCCTCCATTGCAATGACATTCCTCACGAGCGTATGTGACCGTTTCAATGCAACCGGAACTTCGGTCGAGCAATGTCACTGGCTTGTCCGAATCGCTCTCGCTCGTGCCATAAGTAGAAACCGAGTGTATTCCATAACTCTATAAGTTATGGCGCACCCAATAAGTGAATCTGAATCATTAAAATATGTACGAAAAGTATTGAATGTACCACGGCAGTTAACTAGTTCTAATGGCCTCGGTCATAAAAAGTCCTCGTCCTACGGGCTTCGGTATTTTTGTCGACGCTCGATCATTAAACGCCCTTGGAGCATAAATATTTTAGATAAGGTTTGTGGTTGATACCTCCTGGATCCTTCATCATCATGGATTTGTATAATATCTCTGCTGCCTCCAAGGAATTTGTCAAAACTCCCTTTACAATTAGTACGTATAAATATATTTACCTTCCATTCCATGTCTTGTTCTCTGCTTTTGCCTGCTTTTCATGCTGTATTTGAAAATTACAAGTATCTTATAATTCTTGTTGATTACTTATTCAATAGAATATTGGAAGTCCGGAAACATCGACAATCTATTTTGAAAGACAAATTAAAGAACAGAATTAAGAAATCTATTTGTTATCAAAAACGCATTGTAAAGAAGAAATTCACATTTAAACATAAACATTTTAATTTATTTAAAAAGCAGTATTACAAGTTAACCAAAAAACACAATTCTCCATTTTTGTAGAGTCATTAATTTAATATAACTTTAAATCATTATATAATATATTATTTTTCTAGGTTATTAGTTTGAAAATGTGCGTTTTTTTTTTCTTTAGTATAAACTATTTAATTCACCAAAATATTTTCTATCAAGCAACTCTACAACATAAATTACATATAACTTTTTTTTATTTTGTCTACATCTTTAGTAACTTTTTGAAATCGTTGGTTATCAATGAAATAAACGTAGCACATTCCACTAACTGACGAATTATGCTTTCAGAAGACACAATAACATGTACGTGAAACTTTAATTACTCATTTCCCCCCAAAATTATGGAAAAACTAGATAGGTTTTACCCCTCTCAGGATTTAGCGTTCATTATGAGCCAACGTATTTCTTTCAAATATATTAAAATCAAATTTCACATCACAAACACAAGAGCGATGAAAGCAACGTCTCGTGTCAAAAGCTCCACTTAAATTAGAATACAGCAATAAAATCTATTAAAAGCACGCATACATAAAGCGAGTGTACTAAAGAGCTTCATCTGACGGCTTTAAGTAGTGCCCTGCCTCTCCCCAATTGCGATTAGTTTCCACAAGGTTATTTCTCATGCTGCCTTTCTAGGAAAACCACAAAGAAACAATGTAGGATAACCAACCATTCGAATCAACTGCTATGTTGTTTAAGGAATTTACAACGCGACATTCATGGTTCCAGTACTTCATTTTTTCCAATAGGAAATGTTAGGGCATTGGCTCCCTGATACATTAATCAATCATGGGCTCTGGGTGTGGCGAAGTTCTCAACAACTCGATAACGTCGGGAGTTTCCTATGCCAATAGGTGGTTTTGTCGTTAATTGGTTTTTACGTTGGGCGTTAACATAAATTGACTTGTAGCAAATTTTCAGATGTCGAGATTTAGAATAAAGCTTAGTGAGAAAGAAAGTGAGGCAGCACCGTTTTCCTTATAGTCCGTGAGAGAGCATAAGGAAATGTCAGCGATTGCACAATGTTTTATAATCTGTACCCGGAAACTCTAAGCTCACCAAAATATTTCTTCTGGACCATATTCTCTTCTGGATACGTTGGTTTTCTGGATACTTTGGTTCACTGTAATATATGCATTATACACATAGAGTTTCAGACGTGGCGACATGAAACTATTTTTCCTTTGGAAGATTTGGTATCGCTAGTGCTCACTTGTTCTAGTCCGGCAAACAAATGGCATTCGTTCTGGTTTAATCTTTGTTATGATCATCATTATCTGGTCTTTTCGGAAATACATTGGAGGAATGGTTTTGATGAATCGGTGATGACTGGTGATGATATTAATATGATTTAGATGATGAAATCGCGAAGGTGGAATGATAGTCTAGGAATTCAAACACATTAATGAGATTAGATTGTTCACCATTATTTTCCATATAGAACGGCTTGAATTTAGGTCTTTCTAAAATAGTAACACATTTGCTAATTCATTGTTAGTATCGCCTTTGATAAACAACCGCGAAATCATGATAACGAGAAACCTGCTTTTTTTTTAAATTCGATAATTGTGTGTATTCTTGTATTCCTATTCTGTGACTTTGCAACTTTCGGTGCCTACTGACGTTGCCCACTTCCCTATTTAATGAAGCATAATCTGAAAGGTTTAACCACCTTTCAGACTATCCATATATATATGGATATGGAAAAACGAAACCTGGAAGAAACTACTGCATCAAACAGGGACTCCAGTGTGACTTTTATTATCGTGCCGCGATAGTGAAAAATTCTGCTCGGCCGACTGGCCCTGCTCGTCGAGGAACTGTGCATTGAACTCCCCTGAGAATGCTGCAGACGGGAGGTTTTCAAGTCATAGCTCTGCAAAAGGCATGCTTTTCAGTCTTGATGATTAGTTGGTTTGTGATGGCACGCTCCAAGTTCACTCTCAAACACGAAGCGTTTGTGTACTACATATACGTAAAATGCGTTATGTGCGTTGTGTGCTGAAGCTATTCTTCCAAATGTTGACAAAAGAAAAGCATAATTATTAGCACTTATAGCAGACGAACCCACCTTCCCCTTTTACTGACCGTTCTGTCTCTTTTTCCCCGACGTTCATTGTTTTAACTTGGTTTGCCGACGCTAGTTCCTGCATGACCGGCATATTTATAAAACGCTCACACGGTATTGTGCATAAACATAGCTGGTTCGCCATCGTAACGCCATCTCGACACATTCTTGGCTATTCGGGATGAGCAGCGTCTCGGTCAATTGGGCTGACGTTTCGGCCATCTTGCTGTAGCGTTCTTCAAAGCTATCTGCGCCAGAGCTGTACTAAGCTATACTCCGGAAGCCGTATAGCTCTGAAGACGGCCACAGCAAGAGCCGAACATGTAGCCACAATTACCGAGTCGCGCTCATCCCGGCTAGCCGAGGAATGCTCAAAGCTCACAGTATAGCTCTGAAGAAGGCCACAAGCAGAAGGCCGAAACTTAGCACAATTGCACCCGAGACGCGGCTCATCCCGGATAGCCGAGAAATGCTCAAAGCTCAGCAGTATAGCTCTGAAGAAGGCCACAGCCAAGAAGGCTGAAAGTTAGCACAATTGACCAGTCGCAAACTCATCCCGGATAGCCCGAGGAATGCCTCAAAGCTCAGCAGTATAGCCGAAGAAGCCAACAAAGCAAGAGGCCGAAACGTTTGAGCACAATTGACCGAGACGCGGCTCAAATCCCGGATAGCGAGAATGCTCAAAGCCTTCAGCAGTATAGCTCTGAAAGGACCACAGCAAGAAAGCCGAAACGTTAGCCACAATTGACCGAGTCCGCCGGCTCATCCCGGATAGCCGAGAATGCCCTCAAAGCTCCAGCAGTATAGCTCTGAAGAAGCCCACAGCAAGAAGGCCGAAAAACGTTTAGCACAATTGACCGGAGACCGCGGCTCATCCCGGCATAGCCCGAAATGCTCAAAGCTTAGCAGTATAGCTCTGCAAGAAAGCCACAGCAAAGCAAGGCCGAAATCGTTTAGCAAAAGTTGACCGAGACCGCGGCTCACCCCGAAAGCCAAAGAAAGTATGAACTTCCGGCCGCAGAAGCCCACAAAGCCCTTATTAAATCGAAGCTACATTAGCAATCGTGTAGAAAGAGCCGACCCGCAACGCACCGCCAGCCTGTTAAGCAGACGAAGGCGTCGTGAGCGTAGTGCTGCCTCGGTCGTCGCCCTGCCTGGCGATGCGGGAAGAGGGCAGCGCTGTAGGCGATCTCGCGCGTACAGGCTAGGCCGCGGCGGCGCGGTCGGCCGGCGAAGCCAGCGCCGCACGCCGCCAGAGCGGCAGCGCCACGGCCAGCCGCGCCACGCGTGGGCGGGCGGGGCGCGCCCGCACGCCGCTTCGAAGCCGCGCGCCTCCGCCAGGAGGCACGCCCGCCTCCTGCGGCCACGTGCAGCGCAAGCCGCCCTCCGCTGTTGGCACGCGCCCCGACTGCAGCCGCCCAGCGCGCCCACCTGGCCACCCACGGAGCTCAGCCACACTCGTGCTGTCTGTCAGTCTGTCTTTCTCTACTCTCTCTCTCTTCTCTCTCTCTCTCTCTCTCTCTCTCTCTCTCTCTCTCTCTCTCTCTCTCTCCCCCCCCTCTCTCTCTCCCTACTCTCTCTCTCCCTTCCCTCTCTCTCTCGCTCCCTCTCTCTCTACTCTCGCCTCCCTCGTGTCTCTCCCTCCCTCTCTCTCTCTCCCTCCCTCTGTCTCTCCCCCTCTCTCGCTCCCTCCCGTCTCTCTCTCTCTCCCTCCCTCTTGTCTCTCCCTCCCCTCTCTCTCTCTCTTCCCTCCCCTCTGCTCCCCTCCCTCTCTCTCTCTCTCGCCCTCCCTCTGTCTCTCCTCGGTCTCTCCCTCTGTCTCTGCCCTCTGTCTTCTCCTCTGTCTCTCCCTCTGTCTCTTCCCTCTGTCTCTCTCTGTCTCTCTCTGTCTCTCTCTGTCCTCTCTCGGTCTCTCTCTCTGTCTCTCTCTCTGTCTCTCTCTCTGTCCTCTCTGTCTGTCTCTCTCTGTCTGTCCTCTCTCTGTCTCTCTCTCTGAGTCTCGTCTCTCTTCTCTCTCTGTCTCTCTCTGTTTCTCTCTTCTGGTCTCTCTGTCTCTGTCTCTCTCTGTCTACTCAGTTCTCTGATCTCTCTCCCTGTGTCTCTCTCTTCTCTCTCTTTTCTCTGTCTCTTTCTCTCTTTCTTCTCTCTCTTTTCTCTTCTCCTTTCTCTCTCTCTTTCTCCTCTTTCTCTCTCTCTTCTCTCTCGCGCTTTCGTCTCTCTCTCGCTCTCTCTACTGTCGCCTCTACAAGTGAGCTTCAGGCCATAGCTGAAGTAAGTGGCCAAGAAAGCGGATACTAAACCAGTACAGTGTATTGGGCCAGAAAAAAAGAAAGGTTTGGTCGACTGGATTGCAGTTGTGAGGCGTAGAATAGAGAAAGTCTAAGAATGATTGAGATTAAATTAAAACATGTTTTATTATTTGTATGAAATGGAGCTTCATTGAATTGGTTGGATTTTCTTGAAACCTTGAAGGATCAAACTGCAATTAATTGTTCGCTGCTGCAATTGGATTGGACATGCGTTAACGCTGCGTAGGACCGGTGACGGGCATCGTGCGCCTCCACGTCCACCACGTGCCGCCGACTACAGAGTCCCCAGCGGCCCAATTGCCACACACTAAGCTAAGGCTCTCCTGCTCAGAAAAAGGCCTTCAAAAAAAGTGAGGAACGCGAAATGGATCCAAGAAACGATACTAACCATTACAGAGAATGAGTGGAAAGCGTTGAAAAATGCGTTTGACTGTTTGATACAGCGTTTGTCACGTTAGATTAAGGAAGGCCGAAAAGTACAAGTGAATTGGTTGAATTGGATGCAAAATATTAAATTGGAGTTGTTTGAATTTATGAAATTAGACCTGAATTAAATTAAATGGGTTGTGAATAGATAGTAGTTACTCTGAGGTTTTAGCACGTCGCCTGCTGCCAAATGGTTTATGCCAGGGGAACCGGCCAGTGATGAGAAGAAAGTGGATCGAAAAGCCACACATTCAAGAAGTTAAAAACCACTAGAGTATATAGCTGACGCGAAGGGATCTAAAAGGTTTGACTGTTTGATCTCTTTCTGTCAAATAAGGAGGGTCAGAACGAAGTGCGACTGAATGTTTTGGATCGAATTTGAATTTTAATTGGAACAAATCGTATTGAATTAAATGCCACATGGTTCATTTCCGGCGGCGACGTGCAGCGCAACACCTCCTGTCGGGCACGCCCACCGACTCCAGCGCCCAGCGCACCTGCCTGCCAATGTGAAAACTCAGCACATTTTGGCGCGTGCAAAGAAAGAACGGAACTGAAAAATTGTAGAGTTCTTACAAGCAACCAAACTGACGCCAAAGTCGAGCATCTTTCAGGAGCACTCAAACACTTTAAGAAAGTAGACGTGACAGATTTAATGGATTTATGTCTCCCTCCGCTTGATATCTTTCAATTTGCTTCCAATGTGTTTGGTACTGCCGAAAGGAAATGCCTTGCAAATAGCCTCCAGTTGTAGGGGAAGATAAACTTAATGAATAATGTCAAAGTAATGAATTTTGGACTGCTTCGCTTCTTGTAAGCAAACTCCTCAATTGTTATTTATCACAAAATTTATTAAAATAGTGTGCATCCCACGATTGTAAACGATGCATCCTAGCGACATTAGCAGCATTATCAATTTAAATATTTTATTGAAAAAAGGATCCCGTGCCTTATTTATTATAGGAGCGTTAGGGCTTGCAAGCTTCTAGAATTTACAGCACACAGGTCTGAGTAGCGCTCCCCGTCGCTCGACTTTCGAGGTTAGCAGCGCGGGCGCGTGTCTCACCTCGCATAGCCGCAGTCCGCCGCAGTCGAGCAGGTTGTCGTCGAGCACGAACCCTGCGGACGCGCCGGACAGAGACTCGTTCATGCTTTCGACAGCGCCACGATGGCGTTCAGCGACAGGTTCACGTCCCCTCCGCCCACGCCGACACCGCAGTCTGCGCAGCAATTAGAGCTTCCTCATCATCGCCGAGACCTCTCTCGTAATTTTGAAATGTAAAAAGTACCATTATTAAATTTAAATTATTATTAATTTTATAGGAGATAGAACACACAAAAAAACATTTCAGTGTGAAAGTGTTAATTTTTTTTCTTATATGTTTTTCTCGTGTAATTTAAATTAAAATTATGTCCGATGAAAGAGCTAATTATTTCAAAATCTGAGAATTTTGAAAGAGTGAAAAACGACAAAACCGTTAATATGATCAAGCTGCATTTTGCAGAATTATGATTTTTATTTTGTGATAACTTTAAGCCACCACCCGCTTTTCTTTCGCCATATTTTTAAACTCATACACTGTAATCGAAACAAACACATGCCTTGTAATAGAATCAGATGAAAATCAGTGACATTTTAATCACATGGAAATACATTCAGTATCATCCCACTAAGCAATATTTTTCATTATTCAGTTCCAATCTCTGCAGTGTTGGTATGGAATAGCTCCAGAATTTTCCACCGTCACAAACGCATTTTGCGGACAGATCAGCGACCCAGATGTCACACCCTCGTATGAGGCGGGCCACTCGGTGAACACATTCCGCGACAAGTCGACCCACCCTAAGTTGCCCGTCCCTCCAGCCAGTGTTCCGCGAGAAGTGCCTCCATCATGTTCCTGAGAGCCGGTAGGTTCTCTAGCGCCTTTCGACAAAGTTCCCGGAGCTGGTGGAATTCCGACTCTTGCACGACTAAGACTATTTTTGGCTCTGTATGTTCTCCTCGCCCAATTTAAATTAGAATACCATTAATAGATTAAAAACCATGCAATAATAAAAAATCTTAGGGGTTTTGAAACAAGAAAATCGACATAAACGTGAAACTGCATCATACTGCATTTTGCAGCAATTTTCATTATATTTCGCTCTGGAACTCGTAGAATCAAAATTCCTTCCAAGGGCACATTTTAACTTATATGACTCTAATGCAAAACCATCCTCAGAGTCCGAGTCGAAATCAGGTGGCATTTGGACCATGTGAATACCTCAGGATCATCCCCATTGAGCAATATCGTTCATAGACAGATCCAACCTCTGCCAACGCGTGGCTATAAAGCTTCCCAAGATTTTCCCACGTCTTCAAAGAGTTTTCGACAAATCCAGGCGACTCCATGTCACACCCTCGGATGAGCGGCCTTTCGGCTAAACACATTCTGCGGACAAGTCGACCACCCTGAGTGCCTTTCCCTCCAGCCAGTGATTCGGGGAAGTGCCTCCATAGTTCCTGGAGAGCACGAGTTACCTCTAGCGCTCTTCGACAATTCCCGGGCTGGTGAGTTCCGCACTCTGCGACCGCTATAGTTATTTTAGGCCATTCTGAATGTTTCTACTTTTCCGCCCCCAATTTTAAATTAAAATATAACTTTCATTAGATTAAATGGTGGCAATATTACAAATGTACGGTTGACACAGCGGAAATCGACTAAACCGCTGAACTGGTCATTACTAAATTTTTGAATAATTATCATTTATTTCGCTGCAGACTGCTTGAATCCAAGAAATTCCTTCCAGTTGCGCTTACTACTATTAACTTAGTTTACTCTAATGCAAAACGCATAAACCTCAGAGTCGAGTCGAAATCAGTGGCATTTGGGCAACCAGTGAATACCTCAGCAATCATGCCCATTGCAGCAATATCGTTCATAGACAAGATCCAATTTCTTCACGGTGCGTAGTTTGAGGTCTCCCAAAGCATTTTCCACCGTCCTTCAACGAGTTTGCGATTAGATCCAGCGACCCCATGTAACACCCTCGTATGACGGCCACTCCGGTGAAAACATTCATCTCTCTCTT